CACAAGAGTGAGAGCTAGCCCTCAGTGTCCACGTCCAACAGGAACACAAGAAATGCATTATCACCTCGGGCTCCGTTGAGCTCTGGCACATGCAACGTAGAAACACTCGAAACTTGGGGCCCGGATGCTGGCGCACATCGTCGTCACATCAATGGGAATTGCAATGAAATTTAAATGCAAATTCTGCCTAAATTCCTCTCATCCTATTATTTTTAATGCGTCGCTCATGCCACTTCTTAAGTGTCTCGCTCAAAGTCGACGCTGGTAAATCCTTTTGTGGGTGATAATTCATGTTTTATTCCAACCTTAATCTGGGGACAACACTTAAAGATTCAAGAGATAGATATAAAAAGGAGCGACCCCACGCTCCCAGTACAGGCCCACCGCAGCGTCAGATGCATGCTAACGCAGCTCTAATGGAATACATTTCAGCGGCTGAGGAGAGGACATCTTATAAACACATGATGTTGGATGAGCCAGCCTAAAATAACTGCAATATGCATGCTGTGTGTACAACAAGGGGAGAAAGAAATAAAAAATAAAAACATGCTACAGGACCCCATCCTTCCCCAAAACAAACACACACACACACACACCACATACTGTGGAATCATGCGTCTTATGAAGTCACGTCCAGCAAGACCGTGAGCTCCAAGTGACCGCAAGTAATGAGAGGGATGGAGCGAAAGTAACTCGACTGCAGCCTCCCCAAAAACACGCAGAGACACACACACGCACACACTCTCAGACACACACACCATCTTGGTCATGAGTGGGCTGACACTGGGCTGGGCTACACCTAGAGCATAGCTTAGTAGTAATCTCTGTCAGGATGTTAACTTATTGAACGCAGCTGTGTGTGTGTGTGTGTGTGTGTGTGTGTGTGTGTGTGTGTGTGTGTGTGTGTGTGTGTGTGTGTGTGTGTGTGTGTGTGTGTGTGTGTGCTAATGAGGGGTGGGCAGGGGGCCAGTAGCAGGCTGCAGGGAGACTTGGCTCCATCAGACCTGTTCTCTGGATGTTTTCGCATGGCCGGAGACACACACTGACAGACACTGACACACACAGCCACACAAACCCAGACCCAGTGGATGGAAAATGTCAGAGCCACATGCTGATGAACCGCCTCCTCAGATGTGTCCGATTACCGGAGAGCATGCACCAAACGAAGAGGAAATCCTTAGGAGACCCTCAGACGATGTGTTGGGGGGTTTAATTGGGGACATTTTAACTTAATGAGGTTCAGCTGAGCCACCCCTGAGAGGAAGGATGGGAGAGGGGGGGGGATGTAGGAAATCTAGGTTAGCCACACAAGACCACCCCAAGAGAGGATTCTGGGAAAAAAAGGGATGGATGGAAGGATGGAGACGACTAAGCTGTGATTAAGGAAGAGCTACTGGTATTTAGGAGTTAAGCTTAAAAAGAGAGAGGGGGATAGCAGGGCAGAAGAGAGGGAGAGAAAATGCTGTGGGCAGGAGTCTCTTAACTGAGCCGAGAGCAGCGGCAGACTTGCGGAGGCTGAAAGACAACCTGAGAGAGATAAGGAGGATGAGGAGGGAGCATATGCTAACTGAGAGGATGAGAGATGCAATGAAAAGAGCAAACTGCAGCGAGAGAGATAGCGAGGGAGAGATACATCGACGGTGGGATGCTTCGGTTTGTGTGAGTAAGCAGCGGGATCGAAGATGAGAGGAGGAGAGGCAAGGAGAAGAGAGGACATCCATCCCTCTCTGAGCCTCCGGGAGCACAGGACGAGACTGAGGGCAGAGGACACGGGAACACACACACCGTATTATATGTGTGTGTGTGTGTCATGCAGCTGTGGGGTAGAGAGGAGAGGGGCACCAGCTATGTAGCAGGTGCTGGCCATTTCACGCCTGTCGGCCCCTCTTAGCCCTGTTTGTCTACACGCATTCACATTAGGCTCCACAGGTCTCCCATCTGGAGTCATTCCACATCTTTCACCCGCTCCGATCCCACCACCTTCCACTCATACATTTCACTCGCTCTGATGGAAACTCAATCTCTTTCAGAGCACTTCTCGCCCTCTCCATGCCTTCTACAAACCCTCCTTCACTCTGACACTCTGCCGAATGCCTCGGTCACCTCTCGACAGCCAGCGAGTTTTAGCTCGCGTCTTATCCTCCTCCTTCGCCGGTGAGTAAGAGAGGAGTGGGAAGCAGGGAGGAGGCAGTTGGGCCGCGAGAGAAGGAGATGGAGGAGGGAGATGATAGGACAAGGGAACTGTAGGAAGTTGAACACGGGAAGAGACCAGAGACACCGGAACATGAAGGAGAGGGGATGAGAGGAAAGAGGGATGAAGAACAGGAGTTGAAATGGAGGATAGAAGGCAGAGGGAGAGAGGGAGAGGAGCTGAAGCAGCAAAGGGTGACTGATCCGCTCTGAGAGGCTTGCAGACAGACAGACGCACTGCTGAGAGATAGTGGAGGCCAATAGCAGTGGAGATAGGATGCAGAGGCACAAGATTCCCATGGGAGTTTTAAATGCCGTCAGCACACGCTGTCTCCCCCATGCCTCGCTCTCTTAGTGTGGGGGATTGCATGCTGGCACTGATTTATCCCGGTGCCCGTTCTCTGGCTTCTTAAAGTCTAAAAGCGGCAGCCTCCATCTCCCCCCCTCTGCTCCCTGGATCGTTGGATCTTCCCTGCTTGTTGCTTGTAATACACGGCAGGAGATGGTGACATCGTTTGTGCGACAGAAGCCGGTTACGCTCCTGTGCAGCGGTACAGAATGGCCCCAGAGGAACGAGTGGTGACGCATGCTGAGGCGCCGTAACGAGCCAAGGGACTTGAAGTAAGATGGGGGGTGAGAGATAAATTAAAAGAGTGGAAATAAGGAGAGACTGAGCAAGAGGACAGGAAAGAAACGGTAGATAAAACGAGGGCATGAAGGATGGCTCTTAAACTAAAAAGGCTCCAGAGAAATGCACTTTTTCCCCCAATTATAGGCAGGGTTGACCCCCGTGTCAGCAGAAAATAACTTCCGGTTAAGTGCAGGCCCAAGAGTGGAGTGGGATGTATTTTGCATGAGGGGAAAGTCGGGAGTGAGCTGCAGGAATCGACTGTTTTTCATCATGACTGGCCCCGCTATGGACGGTTTCACTCAGAGACCTGAGGTGGTACAGCAAGCTACCCAGCACACCTGAATGCATCACACACACACCATGTATACATCACTTCAGGGGACATTACATTGACTTACATGCATTTCCTGGAGACTTATCCCAACCCTAACCAACACATCCCTAACCAAGTCTTCACCCTAAAATTAATGATTCCCCTCATGGGGACCTCCAATTTGTCCCCATAAGGGAAGCCAGTCCCCACACGTGACTGTGTAAACAGATTTAGGTCCCCACAAGTATGGTAATGCTA